TGGTGGTCAGCTGTACATTTGTTTTCCAATAGCAAAGTAAGACATTAAAAAAAAATTGTTCATGATCTCTAAGCAACCACACCCTAAAAAGATGAAACCTCAGGAGAACTCATAGCCAAATCCAAACCTGGGTCTGTGGTGCTCAGGTTTAGAGCTCCACAGCTTGCCCCATCTGCTGACTCTAAATGACCCCTACACCCCTGGACCTGTGAGCAGCTGGCCAGCCCTCCCCACCCCAGTCCCCTTCTCCAGGAGGATCTGTGGTAATGGTTTGGGTTTGGATTTCAGGAGCAGATAAATTCTGCCAGCTTATTTGTGCCCCCTCCCACCTTCCAGCTATTATTGTTATTTCTTTCCTTGAAAGTTTCACTTGGGCTGGGAAGATAGCTTGGTGGTCTAAGCCCCTGCTTGGGAAACGCAAGGTCCTGAGTTCAATCCTTGGTAGTGCATGCTGTGTCAGCCCTAGAACCCCAGGGTATGCCGTGCTGGTCTCAAAAATGGGAGTGGTGAGTTAGGTGGTGTGCAGCCCTCTTTACCACGCCCCAGTCATGGCCAGCCACATCAAGCTCTACACCAGTGCCAATATGCCCTTCGTGGGGCTGGGCACGTGGAAGTCACCTCCAGGCCAGGTGACCAAGGCCATGAAGGTAGCGATTGACCTCAGGTACCGTCACATCAACTGTGCCCAGGTGTACCGGAATGAGGAGGTGGTGGTGGCCCTGCAGGAGAAGCTCAAGGAGAGGGTGGTGAAGTGCCAGGAGCTCTTCATCATCAGCAAGCTGTGGCACACACTCCAGGACAAGAGCCTGGTGAAAGGAGCCTTCCAGAAGACTCTCACTGACTGTCAGCTGGACTACTTGGACCTCCACCTTGTCCATTGGCCCACAGGCATCAAGCATGGAGCTGACTATTTCCCATTGGCTGCGAGAGCCAATGTGATTCCCAGTGACACTGATTTTGTGGACACCTGGAAGGCCATGGAAGAGCTGGTGGATAAAGGGCTGGTGAAAGCAACTGGCATCTCCAACTTCAACAATCTTCAGGTCGAGAGGATCCTAAACAAGCCTGGCTTAAAGTACAAGGCAGCTATTAATCAGATCCGATACCACCCGTACCTAACTCAGGAGAAGCCAATCCAGGACTGCCACTCCAAAGGCATTGTGGTGACTGCTTATAGTCCCCTCAGTTCTCTCAACAGGTCCCGGGCTAAGCCAGAAGACACTTCCATCCTGGAAGACCCCAGGATTAAAGCAATCACAAACAAGTACAATAAAACTACTGCCGAGGTGCTGATCTGTTTCCCCATGCAGAGGAATTTGGTAGTGATCCCCAAATCTATGACACCAGCCCACATTGCTGAGAACTTCTGGGCCTTTGACTCTGAGCTGAGCAGCGAGGACATGGCTACCTCACTCAGCTACAAGAGGAGCTGGAGGGCCTGTGCCTTGGGGAGCTGTGCCAGCCACAAGGACTACCCTTGCCATGCAGAGTTTTGATGCTGTGGATGCTTGCTGTTCCTCAGCGTCTTGCACCTGTTTCTCCTGCCTCATTTGTCCTTGCAAGTATAGCCCATGTTGCTTGGCAGTGGGCGGCAGCCTAGAGACAAAACATTGAAGGCCTGTTACCTGATGCCTGGTGTGAAGAGCAGCATCAGTAGATGAGGTGTCTTTTCTTTGCTTTTTATCATGTCCTCCC